GGGTGGGGGGAGGCTGTTGTGGGGAGGGCAAGAGCAGGCAGGTTAGAATTCGGAAACTGGGTCAATCTCTCCTGTCTGGTTCACAGTTCATCGTTGACTGCCAAGCCAAGGCGGCACTGAGGTCAAAGACGAGTGAAAACGTAAACTGGCTTAGTCATTCATCTTGAAGTACACACACGATTGTGTGGTTGGAAAAGTGTGCGTGTCCTTGCGCTTCTCGTGGTATATAATGCGTGGACGCTGAATGGACAGGCAGAGAGACGTCGTAGTATCAGGTGCACTGGAGTCATTGTGACCAGAGAGAATTGTGTTGTATCGGAGGAACTGTATTGCTTCACAGTAAGTTGATCATAGATAGAAGGATAGATTCATTGATCCATGAACTACTTAGATCTAGAAAATCTAGATAGATCCAGATAGATCCTATAGATAAGGCCTATAGATAGATAGATAGATAGATAGATAGATAGATAGATAGATAGATAGATAGGTAGATAGATGGATAGATGGATGGATAGATGGATGGATCCATAGATCCATGAAATACACAGATAGATAGATAGATAGATAGATAGATAGATAGATAGATAGATAGATAGATAGATAGATAGATAGATAGATAGATAGAGGACTGTAGATACAATTGTACATATGCAGTACAAGGAACAGCAGATAGATAAATAACTGTAATGATGAACTGAAAAACAAATCGATGGGCAAACGGACACATAGATGGACTGTTCTATACTGTGTACTACAGGCTGTTTGGACCAACAATAAGAAGGAAAACGATGAATGAATGTAGACTACAGAGTATGATATCTTTGGTATTCTGGAAGGAAAGACGAATGGAATGAGGGCATGGATAAATGCACGTGTATGCATGCATGTATGATGATAGAGTCAATACTTTGTTTGGAAATGTATGGCAGAATTAAAAGTAAAAGTTTCCGTGTTTAATAATACATGCATGTCTCCCAGAAAGCATTACGATTTCACAACTCCTCAATTAATCATTTACTCCAAATCCTCACTTCATGCCCCTTCAAAACATATAGTGCTGTCCCTGTTATGCGCATACAATATACTATGATTCACACATTGGCGGCAAGCGAATTGTAATAATTTATAATAATTATAATAATAATTGCATTTATATAGCGCATATCCATGCTCAAGAGCATGCTCTATGCACTTTACAACTATTATTACCCCAGCAGACCCTCTGAGAACATTCAGAAACATACTCGGCTTCCGCGGAAGCATACAGAGCAAGCTGCGGATTTCACGCGCTCAGACACTATCAAACTGACGAGATCGTTCATTGTCTATTGCCGGGTACCCATTTCCACCTGGGTGAAGTGAGGAAAATTTGTGCAAAGTGCCTTTCTCAAGGACACAACGTCGGGCCTCTGACGGGATTCGAACCCACGACCTTACGGTTGCGAGTCCGAGAGCCTAACCACTAGGCCACCGAATTGTTTTCTAGGAAAGAGAAAGAATGTTTCCTTCTTTACAAAAAATGTACACACCTGATGGGTCTTTTCTCACCTTTTTTCTCTCTCAACAATTAGATCTAGAATCTGAATTCCGACAAAATATTTCTGGTGCATATGCCAGTGACACCACAGAATAAAAACAGCAATAAAAAATGTTTTTAAAGTGTTGGACTTAGTATGTACTTTATAACAACTGGTCGACGATATAATAGTTTTCCTGCTCTGCCGATTGTACTGTTAAGTTGCCAATCATTATGGTCGCTTTTAAGGACAAGCGGGCTAACCCAGATTCCGGGGGTTTCCAGAAATCTTAACTTACACCAAAACTTGGCATTGCCCTACCTATAGGAGAAGTTTGGTTTGATTGGTGTGTATATTTGTTTGGTTGTAGAGAAAACTGTCCTTGTCTTTTAAAGAAACTGAACAAGGGGCAAAGACTTTACCTTCGGATTTCTCAAAATAGCATTTTTCGGGATAGCCCCCTTGAGCTTAAAAGCGACCATATTATATGCATGTAGATACACTATGGTGCCAGATTAAGTACGGCTTCGGCAGGGCCAGCTAAGTACTGTGGGGTCTGAATAGTGCAATGGGGTCGGATAAGTACA